ATTAAATCAAAATGGCGTGAAGAAAAAATGATTATTCAGTTGAAATATAAACAAATTTCAAATTGGATGTTCGAATTATAGTTAATAAAATGTTAATGTTTGGTTACTGCCAAGTCAACTTATAGCAATTTTCCTAAACAATAGCCTAATTCTAAAACAACAACCAATTATTTTATAAATTGTAATAAATCGATTTATATATATATATTAAGAGGTGGAATCATATGATCGCCTCCGATATTCTATATATCACCCCCCCCCCTTCACCTAGCACGGAACCACCTATGGCTTCAGAAGATCTTAGGATTAATGATCTTTAAGTTCTTACAAACTAGGCCACAGACGCTTTACGAAAACGAACTATATTTTAAATGTGGCATTGTCAAAATAAGGTGTATCCGATTATAATATTATATTCAAAAAAATATAATGTAAGAGGCGCCCTGGCTATAAGTATTTTCCGCCAGAATTAGGAGTTACGAAATTTCGAATTTGAATCAGCTGATAAAAAGGGAGAAATTTGTGCCATTATCATCGATAAAAGCAAATCAAAAATAAAAACGAGATTTTCGGACGACCCCAATTTAAATCGTCAATGTATTTTTTCCGGTAATGTGTTATTATTTGAAATTTTAAATCATTTTTTTTGAGCGCGTTTTTTTTAAATTTAAAAATCTGATTTTACCGGACCTATCTTATGAACTGTAAACAATTTTGTTATAAACCTTTGAGTCATTATTATTTATACAATTAAACTACCTAACTTTAGTCAACTATATAACAGTGTAGCCATGTATTGAATCGAAAATCTTCCAATCAATCTTCAAGTTGATACTCAACTTAGAAGCTTAATTCATGAGCCACTCAGAGATAGGTAATTTAACAACACTACGAAAAATATATGGAAAATTTAATATAAATTATATTCGAGTTTACAAGTTCATGGGAAAATTGTCCGAAATTCATATGGTAGGTGCACTCTAAACATGATGGCATACATTAGCGGTAAATTCAGATTTTTAAATTTTGAAAAAACGCGCTCAAAAAAATGATTTAAAGTTGAAAAAATAACACATTGCAGGAAAAAATACTTGAAGCTAATATGTATATGCTAGAGTCATTAAATAATAAATATATATTATAATCATTTTTTTATCTTAATATTCCACATATAAAAAAAATTAATTTAAAAATTAAAATATTCGTGGCATTTTTTTTTATATTTCCGGTAAAATTAAAATTAAATATTTGAGTAACCAATGAGACTCAGAATTTGAAAAAAAAAATCTTCAAAAAATTTTATGCATAAAATGTGGAAAAGATTTTGACATTTTTAGAAAAAAATTGATTAAAATTTCTCTTCAAAAAAATATCTTGACATTTTTAATATTCAAACATTCAAAGAATGTCGCCCTCCACAAATACCGTAAATAGAAATCATAAAATATCTATTCCCATACGATTTTTCATCCTAAGATTGTCATTCTTTTCAGGAGGCAGCAGCCCGTAGAATTGTTCAATAATTATTATTTAAGCACGTTAAAAAAAATTAACATATCAAATACTTCGGAGTAACCACCAAAAAATTATTATAAATACCCGTGAAAAATCCTGATATCGTCAAGGAGCAAATTTAAGTCTTCGAATTGTGATCATAATTTTGATTTCATAATACTTAAGCACAGGAAATATCGCAGACATTTTACAGAGTTCCTGAAATGGAGAGCGCTAGGACCATCGCGTAAATCTATTCTATGGATTGTAGACGATAAATGCCACTCACCTAGCGGCTACATCAAAGTCCAATTCATGATTGACACCGATTTATTAACTCTTTTTGTTTTGGTATTGTTCAGTTCGCTTTCTAAATTTTCCTCATTTTTTTTTGTTTATGCCTGCGCTTATATCTTCATATTGTAATTACGATGAAATATTTTTCAAAAATACATTAAATTTTTTATTTCCGGTGAGACTCAAACTTATTCTGTCAGGCTAGGATTGTCAGAGTCGGATTGATTCTTGGAACCGACTTGAAAAAATAGGCGCCAAAGTTTCGAGCGCTGATCAGAGATTGGTTGGATATAGAGCCTCAAATATGTCCAGACAATAATCGAATTACTAAAAATAAATCTCACTTACAGGTTATCTTTAAAAATAGTGTCATCTTAGATATCTTTATTCAAAAAAAATTAAAAAGAGATGATCATAATTCCCGGAGAGATTCAACACGCATAAAAAAATTCCCATCTCAATTCCTCTTTTTTTTGAAAGTTTTACAGGAAATAAGGAAATTTTCTGACTTATTTTTATAAACATAACCTTTTTAAATTTGAGCCAGTGCCGCTCTAAAATTTGAATTCTTATTAATGTTACGATATAAATAAGTCGCACGTTTCTTATTTTAAAAGAGAATCGTCCAAAACAGCTGTTGGCTCGTGTCATCTGTCACACTGTCTTATCTCGTTAGTCTATCTTTCTAAAATTGTTTTCAGAGATCATTATTATAAACATATTATAAGAATAAAATATAATATGGATGTGTTATGCCCATTCTCCGTAAAGTATATTTTAAGAGAATGATAGAGGACATAACCGTATTTTGAAAAATGTGATTTAAGAGATTTTGCAATGACCGACTTTTGCAGAGTGCCGAAGCGATAAGCTAACAGCCGAAGAACCGTATTATATGCGCTTAATACTTTCAAAATATTGTAACTACATATGAAATACGGGTGGAGTCGTAGAGGGCGGCGGTAGGGTTTTTATGAGGGAGGGAAGGGACTCCTATTTTTGGACCAAGCCAGGATTGGTTTAAAAATATAATATTATGCCCTGATTCGGGTTTTTGGACCCGATCCGACTAACGATTTTGGTAATAGGTCTGGTATTCTATTTTTGTTCATTTCAATAAATGCTTGAAAAAATGGGTCAGGCATTATAAACAAAGAAAATACCGCATTTTATATAAATCCAGACCATATTGCCCCGTATACCCAACCCAATCAATCTTTTATAAAAAAAAATTATGGCGACGAAACCAATGTAGCCGGTTAAATCCCCGAGGGTCCTAAACCGGTTTAATAATAGTTTAAACGCTTTCTCCTATTTTAAATAAAAAAAAAATTAATTGTAAAAAACTAACAAGTATATATCTTATTATTTTCTAATAAAAAAAATTAATTTTTTTTAGAGGAACGAAATGGTACGCCTTAATTCGAGTTCATCTTATAAAATATTAAATTATTTATTAACTAAATCCCATTGTAAATTCACGAAACAAATATTTTTAAAAAAAATTTTTAAACGAATTTTCGCATTTTTTTGCGAACGGTAAATTAAATATCAATCAATCCTGCTCAAATTAAAAGGTTTTTTTCCTCGCCATTTAAATATTATATATATAATTTTTTAAATAATCAGATCATTTTATTTATAAAGAAAACATTTTTGGGTAAAAGAAATAGGAAAGGATTAAAAAAAAATTTATAAACATCTTGAAATTATTTTTTTTTGAAATTCAAAAAATATCGAATTACATTTTCCCGACTTGTCTAATTTGAGACTCGCCAGGGCAAATCTGCTCAAATCAGGAGGGCGACATTAAGAGCGGTTTCAAATACCGAGAAGTTAACGGTCCTTCCCTCGGGGATCTGGCGTTTTATATTTTAGTAAGTAGATAGAACCTTATTGTTTTAACTTTTTTTAAAGCTTTATCCAAAGCCAAACCCAATTTATGCATTTAAATAATTTTACTTTATATTTCTTTGATAAAAACGTTTTATAATTTCGCTTTCCCCAAAGGCATTTTTTTTACTATCTATTTTTGGGAATCATGTGTTTGTTTTTTTGTTAATTTTTTTAAAATAAAACATAATTTTTGTACCTACCGGTTTAGAGGATTTCTGATTGATCAATTTTAAAGGAAAAAAAATGATTGTTTCGTAATTTGTTACTCATTAAACATTTACAAACGAAAATATGGAAATAAATAGATTGTATGTCATTTTCAAAAACGGATTACTCAATATTTCATCTAGAATAATATTACGCAAGCCAGAAGAGTTTGCTTGTAAAAGAAACAAAGGTTTGTACATCTATTAGCGACATCTCGAGGCTCAGGCAATATTTTTCTGGCTAAAATATTGAGTTAGCCATCTTTAATAATCGGCTCAAAAAGAGTCATTTAACAACACTAGTATGTACTACAAAAAAACGGAAAAAGAATGTATGACAGAGATAAAAGCATAGTAGTTTCTCAATAATTTAAACCATTTTTATTAAAAAATGGGAAATCTGATTGTAAAAAATATCTGTAAATAAAATGGACGATTCCCAAATTGGGAAAATGGAGAATATTTCGTCCATTTTTGGAGATGTTTTTTTTTAAAAAGTTAATTTAAATAGATGTATTTTACTTCCCTAACATCTATTAATATCAATTTCAAATTTACTATAAAATTTTTTTAGGGGGATGTAAGCGAGATTCTCAATTTTTAGCTATTTTGTGCTCATACCCATGATTAATTGGGGGGAGGTCAAAGGTGTGCATATTTAGACATTATTAGGGCTAGCATTACTTTTGTTTTGTCTATAGTAGATAAAGGCTAATATTAGTTAAAACTATATTTTTTTAAAATAAGGAATATTAAATAAACAGATCTTTTTGAACCGATTTTTAAAAACAGCTAATTTTAGCCATAAACGATATATGTCTAGAGACCTTTGTTCTTTCTATGAGCAGAATCTTCAGAGTTACGTAATATTTTTCTGGATAAAATATTGAGTTAGCCGTTTTTAAAAAACGGCTCAAAACGAGCCGTTTAACAACACTATTAAACACTTATATTAATTTTTAAAAAAATATTTCTGGATGACTCATTCTATAAATATAAAATGGTGGAGGTGGAGGGTATTTTTTTTTAAAGCGAGGGTTAACCCCTCTCCCCCGTAGCGATAATAATAATTATATTATTGGTCAAAATTATATATCTTTTTCTTACGCGCATTAATATGGGGGGAATATAAGTGCCAATATATACTCAGCAAGCTGGACATCAAGAAGCATATTAATAAAAATAGGTATGTGAGAATTCGGCTCATGTTTACAAAAATAAGATTTTTTTTAAATACGACTAGAGAATCACATTTTTTTAAAAAAAAATTATTGTAAATGTCTATAATGCGAATGAGTACACATATGATTTTTTAAAAAAATGTTTTTTTTAAAAAGAAAAAATTTATATTAAAATATTATATAGAATCCATGGTATTTATCTTATTTTTTATTATAACTATGTTGAATTTACATTATATAAATAGACCTCTATAAATATTATAAATTTAATATAAACTTCTCTTCTATGATTATGATTAGTGTTTTTAAAGTAACAACGTTATGATTTTTGTGAAAAATCACTGTTGTAACTAGTTAAAATTTAATTATTAAAATGCAACGGCTAAAGTATAGTTGATAAGTAACATGTTATATTTAAAAATTAAGTTATTTTTAAATATGTTAATTAATATATATATCATTTTATTTTTCTTTGATGACTTCCTAAGTTTAATATTACTAGTTGTTCAATATAATATCACATACATAAAACGATCGTATAGAATGTTTGTTTACTGAGACCAAATTTTAGAAATAGGTTATTGCAGGGACATATATAAAACAGGGGCATCGTTAACCTTTTACAAAAAGGAATGCCAAAAGTTGCCTACATATTTTTAAAAAATTGTCTATATTTTTTAAACTATATATAATTTATCCCCCTCCCCCATCCATAAATATTTGGAATATCCAATGAATAGATTATTATATTTATAATCTCTTCTACATTAGACACATTTGATTACCATTCGGCTCATACCCGATTCTAAAAGTTTTTCGATATTCTTATCAAAACGTTAAAAAATAGTATAAAGTTCGCTTTTTGATTTTGCACTTTTTCCAGAATGAAAATGCGATTAGTTAAAAGAAGAATATTAAATTAATTTAAACAACCATAGGCGTAGCCAGATTAGCTAGTTATAGGGAAGGGGGTGGGAGGGGGGCACTATTTTTTCTCTATAAATTTTTGTAGATAGGATTTATTTAGGCTTATTGTAGGCCTTTGGCTATATTAGATTTTTATAAAAATTATTTTGAGATTTCACCTTTTTTTATAATATAAAAATGACTTTTTTTTCTAAAAATTTTGAATTTTTTTCGTTGTTTTAAAATGTTATTATTTATTGTTATATATTGCATACATTTAAGGGAGGGTGTGGGAGGTGTGTAGGGGATATTTTTGTTAGCTAAAAATGATACACCTGTTAATCTTATGTAAATTTTTTTCAAAAATCAGCCCAAAAATGAATATATATTGAATTTTAAACAACCTTAATGTATGCTATAACATATATAATTTTTATTTAAAAATTTACCAAGCTCAAAACATTTAGCATTTATGATTTTATAACCTATGCCGTTAATTATATAGCTTTTTTTAAAATATGCATTCGCAATATATTCAATGTTTAGCGGTAATGTTCTCGTGATAATGACGTCACACTAAAGGGTTAAGTTATAAAGGTACCCCTATAATCGATTCTTGAAAAAATTTTAGTTAAAATGTTGCTCCAAAATGTTTTCTGTTCAGGTTTTATGAAAATAAATTCTCGAAAATGGGTTCTCCATACTGTACTTGCTGAAAATATTTTGGAAAAATTCACGGAGTCGGTTTCGGGATATTTCCTTCGCTCTAAAATTTCTTCGCGATAAACGACAATCGCGGTAATAACAATATAAAATAAGATGGCGAATAGGCTATGTTTTTCTTTTTATATTTTTGTGAAAAATGCTAATATTGAATCTTCATTAATTTCTAAAAATTATTGAGATATATTTGGTTTATATTTTGATACCTTTTTGTAAATAAATTTATTAAATAAATAATGAAATATGGAAGTAATTGTCATATATAACAGTATATGAGGTGATAAATAGAAAGAAAAGAGAGATGGGAATTGGGAAAATTACAGACATTCATTCATTTTTTTTATTATTATATTTAAGCATTAATTTATTATTATGTTTTTTTTAGTTAATTTGATATATTCTTTTATATACATTAAGATTTTTGTTACAATAAAACGGTTAACATAACTTTATTATGCTAATTCTTATATTGTATGTGCCTAAATTTACGGGTATAAACATATAACTAATCGCCCAAAATTATATCGGAGTAGTTCAAGCAATTGAATGAATGCTAAGCCCTTCTTAATATAAATAAGAAGTTACCACCAAGCGGTAATAAATTGAGAAATTAGCTAAAACTAGTGTTGTTAAACGACCCGATTTAGGTGGTTTTTTAAAAAAGGCCCGATTAAGATCTTAACCACATTATGTAAGCCTCCCCCACCCCCCCAAGATTAAGAAAATTGAGGTTCAGACCCTTCGGCCATCTATGAGCAAAGTCTCCAAACTTAAAGAATGTTATTTTGGTTAAAAATCTTAATCCAGTCATTTTTAAAAAATATATTCCCATGAATAACTTTGTAAGTTTATATATGTTAGCGGCGATGCGTTTCTTTCTTTCCTTTCTTTCTTTCTTTCTTTCTTCTTTCTTTCTTTCTTTCTTTCTTTCTTACAATTTAAAAATCTCATATTACCGGAAATGCATCCCAGCATGTTAAGAATATCTATCTTACGAATTGTAGACAATATAGCCCGTTAACCTTTGACTCATTTATAATTTGTATAGAAAATATATGTAGAAACTGATATAAATTATATTAAAGTTTATGAGTTCATGGCAAAATTATCTGAAATTACATAGGGTGGATGATCCAAACACCACATTGCCACTAACCTATATACATGCAATATTTTAAGAATATTTTCGCGCATTAATCTATATATTTCCAGTATATTTTGTTTAAAAAACATATAATTTCAATTTATATATCAAATTTTTACGATTTTGTATATTATTAATAAAACCATTATATATATAATATCTATAAAAAGATGTAAATCTTTAAAAAATAATAATAATTTAATTTTAAGAAAAAACATAATTGAGTTTCCTAAAAAGGAACAATAGTTAAAACGACAGGCCCGGATTTTTTTCAAAATCTTTCTTCGGCCCCCAAGGTTTTGATTTTTAGGTCGGCCCAAAATTAGGGCGGCCCTTGAGGGGTTAAGGGCTGGGCCTGCAGGTCTCACAATTTTATATTTATTTTAGAGAAGTTCTTTTTTTGAGACATTTATTTTTATGATTCATTTATATAAATTTAATATTTTATAATTAATTTATTAATCTATGAAATAAACATTATGAAATGTCAAATTTTGAGATATGCTCCCCCCCCCCACCAAGGAAAATTGAAAATTTATAGCTACGCCATTGTCATATTTGTTTTAAATAGATGGTAAAACCAGTTTGAAATGTTTTTTAAAGTGATTTTATTTGATCAAATTTTACCTGAAATTCCAAATATTATGTAGTAAAAAAAAAATATTTTAAAAGTAAATCGCTTATGATTTATGTGTCAAAAATCCTTAGCGATGTCGAGAAAAATTTTCCGATTTTTCTTCAAAGATTATAAGTAATTGCAAAAGAAATAACCTACGTGTGGCGATTGTTTTAAATAGTGATCTACATCGGGCCTAATTTTTTAAGCTCGGCCCGAAATTTTTTTTATAAAGTTTTGCCCTGCCCGAAACAGAAATTTTTTTTAAAATAGCCAGCGGTCCGGTTAGAATTTATTTAAATATAGAAATTAATTATTATAATTACTCAAGATAAACGATGTTATATGGCGTCTACTTTCTATAAATAAAATCACATATTTTTATTTTACATAAAAAATTCAACATAAAATTGATAAATTTAGATATATTTTAAAAAAAAATTAAGGCCCGACCCGACCCGACCCGGCCCGGCCCGAATTTTCTTAAAATATATTCGAGCCCGGCCCGGTCCGAGGCCCGTTCGGGCCGTGCCGGGTACGGGCCAGCCCTACTTTTGCAGAATCGCAGAAAGAAAAAAATTATGCCTCGAATTTATGTTTAATCTGGAATTATTAATTTTGTTGAGTATATGCGCTTAGAATTTAAAAAAAACGAAAAAAAAACAATTCAAAATAGTAGGTTAACTAGCAATAAGTATCAAAATTGAGGCGAAATGAAATAATATTTACAAATTTTTGTCAATTTTACTTTATTATTTAATCAATATGTATACATTAGATGAAATCATTTACAATAAAATTATCTATTTATTAAAATATATATAAATCATCATAAAAATATAAAGACAAATACGAGTTCAATAAAAACATTTTTCAAATTATACAACATGGAATTATTTGCCGGGCTCAAGCTCGTTACCATGACCATGACCATGACCATGACCATGACCGTGACCGTGGCCGTGACCGCTCCCTAATAAGGGATCTGTTGCGTAACAATAACAGTAGAAAGGTGGGCGGGGTTTGCATTGACAAATGGCACAACCATTCGCATCTTCGACAAAACCGTATTGACAACTTAATGTGCAACTCACGGGAATGCAAGCTTAATTATTATAAATAGAGCCCAAATTAATAAAATATATTATGCAAAAAACGAAAAAAAAAATCCTAATATCGGAATATTTATAGCGCCTATACCTGGGTTAGGCAAACATTTGCATATTGGGCAACCGCTAGCATCGACCGCGTTGCCCCACTGGCAATACATGGCACACAATGGTCCACAACCTATACGTTTCATCAAAAAAAGTGTGTAAATTGAATATCTTTTTTGGAGTTGTTAAAATAATTCAAGAAACAAAGATAATTCAAATCCAAAAATATTAATTACCTGGTTTGGGTTTACATTTACATGTGGGGCAGCCATTTTGATCAATCTCGTTTCCGTAAGGGCAATATATTAAACACACCGGCCCACAAACTGGATATTTGTTTAAATAATAATATAATAGAATAGAATCCTATAAATATATTCCGCTGATTGACAATCAATCAGATATTTCAGTTAACAAATAAGTGTTACTTGGATTGGGTTTGCATTGGCATAACGCGCACCCATTTGCGTCGAGCACGTTACCATATGGGCAAAAAATACCGCACACGATACCGCAAACTGTTCATAGCCGCATTTTTTTTT